AATGTCCTTGCTGTTATTTTTTATATTGAAAGCAATTAACATTTTTTTATTTAAGAAAACTTTAATAAACAATACATTCACCTGCTTCAAAAGTCATAAAGTATAGTGGGCCAGCCCAGTGGCGCAAGCAGTTAAGTGCGCGGGCTGTGCTTCGGCGGCCCAGGGTTCCCCGGTTCTGATCCCGGGCGTGCACCAACGTACCGCTTGGTATGCCATGCTGTGGTGGCTTCCATATAAAGTAGAGGAAGATGGGCACGGATGTTAGCTCAGGCCCACTCTTCCTCAGGAAAAAAGGGGAGGATTGGCATCGGATGTTAGCTCAGGGCTAGTCCTCCTCACAAAAAAAAAAAAGTCATAAAGTATAAAAATTATACACTAAAATGCTCCCTTTCGTATGCCTGGGTTTCTCTACGCTCCCTTTCCCCACCATCATCTGTTAACTCTGAAGGTACATAGGCTTTTCTGTAGCCTTACAGTTTCTTAATGTACATGCAATCAAATATAAAATTTCCTCTTTTTTTGCCTCCATTTTTCTGCAGGCTATTCTTTTCACTTGTCAATATATCTTTCTGCATCAATATGTGAAGGGCATGCTCATTCTTTTACACAGTGGAATAGTATTCCATTGAGTGAATAGATACACTTTAACAGTCCTCTATAGGCAGACATTTCAATTGTTTACTATCTTTTGCTATGATAAACAATGCTGCCTGGCTAAACCAAAACATACACTATGTCATTCTTGTGCTAGCGTGTAGGATTAATTCCCCAAAATGGAGCTTCTGAATGAAAGGCATGTGCTTTTCTATTTTGGTAGATATTCCTCAATTCCCTCCATCAGGGTTATACCAATTCATGCTCCTTCCAGTAATACATGAGTTCCATTTCCCCACAGTCATGGTAATAGAGTGTGTTATCAAACATTTGGATTTTTCCTATTAGGTGAAAAATTGTATATCAGTATACTTTTAACTTGCACTTCTTATAAACGAGGTTGAGAATTTTTTCACATATTTTATAGAAATTTACTTTCTTTTTTGTGATCTGTCTATTCATATCACTTTGATTATTTTTCTATGGCATTTAAAAAATCAGTTTCTAAGAAGTTCTTATGTATTAAAGATTCACTCTTTTTTCCTGTGATGTGAGTCAATATTTCGCCTCCAGTTTGCTGCTGTCTCCTGACTTTGCTTATGTTGTTTTTCCAGGCATGAAGTTCTTTTTTTCTGAGCTGAACCAGTCATTTCTTTAATGATTCTAGATTTGGAGACTTAAGTTAGAAAGGTCCTCCCAAGTTCAAGGTAATAAAGGAATGTACCCTATTTATTTTTAGAACTTACATAGTTTTTCTTTCTGCATTTAAATCTTTGCTTCATTTAGAAATTGTCCTCATTTAGAGTGTGAGCTGTGTATACAACATTTTTTTTCCAGTCATGCTGTTGGGTTATTCATAATCCTTTTCACTTATCTAAATCTTATTTTCTAAGTCATCTCCAAAATGTGTGTCTCAGTCCACAAAGATTTACTTTTCAGAGCTGTCACAGCACTTGGGAATTTATCACTGTACTGTTTTTTTATGATAATAACATACATGTGTAGGGTTTTACAATTTATAAAGTCATTTCCTATATATCATCTCATTTACACCCTTATTCACTACATTTTAAAGAATCTGACGTTCTGATCACATGAACTTGAACTAGAAGAGTCATGACTTTGGAAGTGTTACATTTGGATACAAGTCTAGTGCTCTGGGTACCATACTAAACATATAAACGTCATATTACAGCATATATTTTATTCCCTGAAGACATGGACTATGTCTTCTGTCTTCCCACGATAGCAACTAGAAGAGTTATTTATACCCAACAGATGCTCAGCAAACATTTCTTTACTGGCTAATTTAATGTATTGTGGTTTCCCTGTTAATTCTCTTCTTTATTTTGTTCACATAGAACTATTTGCTTCAAAACTGGATACAAGATTCTTGCTTTCCTTTGATCTCCCAGTTTTCTAAAGCAATGACCAGCATTTCTAGGTCGGAGCCCCAATAACAACAGGAATCAAGTTGAACCAGATATTAGAATGGAAAATGCAGTGGTTTTCCCTCAAAAGACCTGCATTTGACCTAAAAAACTTCACTAAGGCAGAATCCAGCTATAATTGAAAGCATTTAATACATGGCTATTGAGGGACAGTGATAACCAGCAGTAAGTGGGGTAGTGGAAAGGATTATGGATTCGGGGTCAGCATCTGAGGGCATTTATTGTTTTTATCATCTAGCATCTATTTTCCCCAATATTTAGTCATGCCTTAAATTTCTTCTGGAACTCATCCCCTCTACCACTCAATTCACTGGCTTTGGCTCCAGAACCACTAAGTCATTAGTCAATGAGAGCAGTGCATCTCCCAGGCCATGGAGATGGATGGATCTCAGTGTCTCTTCTGTAAAATAATAGCTTGGGCCGAAGGTCACTTCCAATGCTAAAATTTTACAAGATAAAATCTTCTTTATGGATAAATTATCTATGTCAGTCCCAGTGTGTGATTTTTGCACTTTGGATATTAGCCTACGGAATATCTGAATCCAACTATTAACTAGTTGAGTGTTACTGGGCATCTACACTATTCCAAGGGAATGCCAGCAGTTCCATTTTCCATGTTTCCCCAAGGAATAAGAAAATAGCTAAAGTGCACCAACTGAGGACTGTTTTTTCTTGATTTTACAGCACCTTATTTTGCTATTTATCATTCATATCTATCTCCTCAATTAGATAAAAAGTTATTTGTTAACAGGTGCTTTGCCTTATGGTGGATCGTTAAGTCTTACACGGTGGGTCACTACGAATTAGGTTTGGCTAGCTGAGACAGATACCCAAAACAGCCGTGATGGCAGTCTGTTTCCTCCTAATGTAAAGGAAATTTGGAAGAAGGCAGTCTATAGCTGGTGAAGCAGCTCCATGAAATCCAAGGACCCAGACTTCTCCCAGCTCTTGGCTCTGTCATCCCAAGAGTTTTGCTCATGGTCCAGGACAGCTGATAAATTTGAGATTACGGTCTTCTCGTAGCTTTGGCATTAAAATGTCTATTCTTCTGTGTGATGGTGAGAATATGTGGTTTTCTTTTTTTCCATGAACTTATTTGGCAAAATAAAAAGTTGGCAAACTTACGTTGAGGCCCCCTAACTCTCGCCACACAAGTCCTCATTCCCCATCCCCAACAAAGTTTAAAAAAGTTTAAACCGGCCCATGAAATTCAAACTTGAAAACCACAAGCTTATTGTAAATTCAGCATTCACATAAAAACTGGAACAATGAATTAGAGGCATAAATTAAAATAATCCTCCTACATCTAGACATGCTCATCATACCAAAAGACTGAGTCGATTTGAAAATGTGACCTGAGAAAGGTATTTAATACCTGTGTCTTAGTCTTCCGTTCTGCAAAACAGGAATAATAATATTCTCGTAATATGCTGGAGCATTAAGAATGATTTTGATATCATTTTATAAACTCTAAAGATATGAAAATGTAACAATCATATTTACTGCAATGTAGTACATTGTGCTTAGGAGCAGATTAAGATGCTACGCCTGGGTTGAATTCCAACTCTGCTACTTAGTAGCTCTGCTACTGTGTGCCTGTTTGTTTCCTCATCTGTAAAGTGGGGATTCAAATACTTACTTCAGAGCAATGATTCTCACCCAGGGGTGATTTTGCTCCCCAGGAAGTATCTGGCATGTCTGCAGACATTTTTGGTTGACACAGCTCGGGGGAGGGGTGTGTTACGGGCATCTACTGAGTAGATGATGGGATGATGCTAAACATCCTACAATGCACACTGCAGTCCCCCACAACACAGAATCATCCAGCCCCAAATATCAACAATGCCAAGGTTGAGAAACACTACCTTATAAGATAGTTGGGATGATTTAAATGAGTTAATACATGTAAAACACTTGGAACAGTAAGCACTACTTAAGTGTTGGTTACTATTATGACCAAGTGCTGTGCTATGAATTTTACATTTTCTCATTTAACTTACACAACCCATATTGAAGAGGTACCACTATTATCACTATTTCACAGGTGAGAAAATTGAGGCTTAGGAGTGGTTAAGTAGGTAACTCACCCAAAATCAGTTAATCAGTGATCAAACCAGCACTGAAATCCAGGTTATGTGATAACAAATTCCACGTTTTTAGCACTACCTAAACTGACCCCTAGATATTACATGTAAATTGGAAACACTTTGTTGAAGGAAGTCTGCCTTAAGTTCCCCCTTAACCTCCATATTGTGCTGTCTCACAATAGCCTTGATCTGGATACTTCAGCCCAAACTTTCATTTTTCTTTATTACCAAATAGAACTAACTCTACAAAGTTAATTCCCATTTTAGAAAGCTTTGTTTTAGAGGTTCTTCCTTTTAGAGAAATAAAATGGACTTCCTTGTAAATGCCATCTATTGACTCTAATTCTTTCTTCATGGTAACCACAGGATTTTTAGAGCAGTGAAAATACTCTGTGTGATATTATAATGATGGATACACGACATTACACATTTCTCCAAACCCATAGAATATACAACACCAAGAGTGAACCCTAATGTAAACTATGGACTTTGGATGACAATGGTGTGTCAATGTTGGTTCATCGATTTCAACAAATGAACCCCTCTGGTGAGTGACGTTGATAATGAGGGAGGCTATGCATGTGCAGGGGCAAGTGGTATATGAGAAATCTCTGCACCTTCTTCTCAATTTTGCTGTGAACCTAAAACTGCTCTAAAAAAAATAAAACCCTTTAAAACAAATAGTAACCATAGTCTCAGGACAACAACAAAATCACTGCACATGTCGCGACAACGAATTTTTGTGGAGGGGTATAGAAGATGGAACATAGATGATAGAATTTAGGGAACCCTATGATGTGAGGGAAGAATTATTTGAAAAACTGACTGAAATCTTTCAGAAGTCATTAAAAAATCCCAGAAACAGAAGCACGCTACAATAGTTGATTTTATTTGTTCAAGGGCTCATATTGCAAGCATTAAACCAAGCATGGGCTTTGATTCCATGAGCCCAGATTCGCATATTTAGGAAGATAAAAACTAACTGTGATGCAAGTACCTGGATGAAGACTAAAGACTCATGGTTAACCACATTGTAGTTTTTAAATGCCTACAGCCTAGAAGCCAGAAGTCACAGGTCTTTTAGGTCCTTCTGGATGTCCCACAAAGTATCTGCACTTTTCTTGAGTTGAGCAACCTCATCATCCTTCAGCTTCTGGTTGATAACACTGGTTAATCCCCGAGCATTCAGGATACACGGAAGGCTCAGGAAGACTTCATTCTCAATGCCATACATCCCCTGCCAGAGCAAAAAAAGCATTTAGATTAAGAAATGAAGCCACAGGTAAGAATGATCACAGGTCCTTTGTTTGAACAGAAAGAACTGCAGGAAATTTGATAAGCACAAACTCATTCTTTAATTCTCATCACTTACAGCCTCATATTCCCCTAATAATTGTGTTCTGAATTGGGTTTTATAATACATAGAATATACAAATATACATTATAATAAAACTAGAAATTTATAAGAAAGGAGTAAGTACTTGACTGAACTTATTGACATCTCTTTCTCTGCTTAGATATGCTTTAATAAAATTTGATATATAAGCCTTCAATTCGAATTGTATGTGAATGTGGTTTTTAATGGGCTACTTTTCATGAAATCCTGTTTCTTAGAATTCTTTAGTTAGGGAGGGAAATTCAGGTGGTAGCCGACCTACAAGGTCCAGAAAAGTAGTTGGAGGCCACTCAAAGGCAAGATTCCTGCAACACTCAAGAGTTGTTGAAAAAAACAGTCCAATTTCCAAAACACTTTACCAATCTGTAAAGTAATTTATTCGCAGGGTGGATTTAACCACATAATTAATTAGATTACTTAATTATATTAAAGTTACTTTAATATTTTTATAGCTTTTAATTTCCAAAATTTTTGCATATACCCCAAAGGAGAGAGAATAAACAAATTCCTATATACACACTCCAAGACTCAGCAATTATCCAATTTTTGCCATACTTGCTTTTTAAGATTTTGCTATAGTATTTCAAAACAAACACCTGACACTAGGTTTTACCCCAAAATATTTCTAAATCTCTTTTGCATGTTTCTAATCTAGTGTATTCCTCCCTTACTTTTTTCACCCCTGCCACTGACTTGTGGAAAATGAGTCAGTTATCTTACAGAAAGTTTTAATACAATTTTAGTTTTATTTAATCAATTTCTGTTTGACTGTTCCATAGCTTTTGAATTAAACTAAATTTGCTAAAGTATCCAAAAGCCATCTACAGGGGCTGGCCCAGTGGCACAGCGGTTAAGTGCGTGCGCTCCGCTGCTGGCAGCCCGGGGTTTGCAGGTTTGGATCCCGGGCATGCACCGATGCACCGCTTATCGAGCCATGCTGTGGCAGCATCCCATAAAAAGCGGAGGAAGATGGGCACGGATGTTAGACCAGGGCCAGTGTTCCTCAGCAAAAAGAGGAGGATTGGCAACCGATGTTAGCTCAGGGCTGATCTTCCTCAGAAAAAAAAAAAAAAAAAAAAAGCCATCTACAGTTTAATACACCAACTTGAAACGAAACTCTATTATACTTATTCAAATGATCATATATTTTGAGAATGTGCTAAGATTCAAAATTAATATTTAATTTGCGACATCATTCAAGGGAGAATTATAAAAATTTATTGGATGTCTTAGCCTCTATAAGTTTTGTGCTTTCGTTGTCCTGGACTTCTGTTGGAGGAGAGAGGTTTCCATAAAACTTTGAGATACAAAAGTAACTGTGGACTGATACTTTATTTTGTCCTTCTTTAAATGAATCTATTTACAGAATACTAGACATCACATTATATTTTGTATAAGTTTATTTTATTTTGTACATTTACATTCTGTAGCAGTATGTCTTACCTTCACCATCGTTGACACTGGATGAATCCTGGACAGATTTTTCAACATGGATTCAATGAGATCAGCGACACTTAATCCAATAGCCCAGTTGGTGTATCCTTTTAGCTTGATGACTTCATAGGCACTAAGAAAAACAAAATCATAAAAGAGATCACTGAAATGAGACTCAATAGTTATTGAAACCAGACTCTGGTTTGACTTCTGCTGTGTCTCTTATTAAGTGTGCAATCTTGAGGAAATTATTTAACCTTTCTTACTTGTATTCTCTTCTGTAAAATGAGGATAACAATGGTATCTATTTCAAGTTTGTTAAATGAGTTAGTATATACGTAAAATGTTTAAAATTTCAACACTACATGGCAGCACTATATAAATGTTTTGATAACTTTAAATAGCTTATTGTATAAGTGAACATTTATGAAGTCGCAGTGGTAAAAATGTACATTTTCCAATCTTATTCATAAACATAAATATTTCCCAAGATATTAATGAAATCAGGAAACAATGAAAGCAAAAGGACCTTCACATTCGAAGGACAAAATACACCTTAATTTTGAGGCCCCACTTACTATTGTCACCTAAAATACTATGACCAACTACCCCAAGAGCAAAGTGATGACTATACCTTGCCTGGCAATTTTCTGAGCACAAATTGTACACCTCGAAACCCACCAAGGCACTGGTACTTGAGAGATAGCAGGAGTAACTGAGTATTAGGAAATTGGGATTTAATGCAATCTACCACTGACTAGAAGACCTTGGGCAAGTTATATCACCTGGGCGAGACCTAGTTTTCTCATTTGTAAAATAAAGGGATTATGTTAATTGAAATGCTAAGAACCCTTTCAACTTTTTAAAGTATCTTTTTCTCCATATATAGGTCAAACTCCTGAAAAAGAAAAATCATTAAAATTGAACTAAACAAAATGATTCCACATTTGAGACATCAGTTAGTTTTGTAACAACAATTCTCTGCAAATAATAATAGCTAACATTTATTGAATGCTTATCAATGACATGTATGTGCATAGCTGTGTGTGCTTTTACTCAATTTTTACAATAACTATATTACCATACAACTTTACAGAGGAGAAAACTGAGACTCAACTTAAGGTTAAATGGTTTCCCCAAGACTATATAGTTAGTGTCAGTGCCATGATTTAAATCCAAGTCCATATTCTTTAGTCCAAATCACACCTTATTTTATGGTAAGCATGAAGGTCATAGAAAAAGGATGGTTAGTAACAAAAGAGACAGCTTCCCAAAAAAAAGAAAGAAAAAGGAGGGAAATGGAGACATCTCCAGTTAAGTATGGAAAGGTAAATACAGCACAGCTTACACTTTCAGCAATCAATCAGCAAGTATTTATTTTAGGCAATTACAAGACTAATAGCATCTAGGTTTACCTTTCTAGTTAACTCAACCTCATTTGCTGATAGGAGGCAATCTGAAAGCCCTTTTCACTTGTTAACTCTGTGTTTTGCTCCTGTTAGTTCTATAACAGAATTTCTCTAGAAAAATATTTGCTTTCCCTAGGGGGACTGGCATAGCAGGTTTGACTGGTATAAGTTAGTCTTGTCTGTTTCAGAAGATAACAGCTGCATATTTAGAGTTTATCTGAACTCTAAACTATATTAAGAGTTTATGTGAACAGGCAGCCATGGAAAGTGTTTCAATTTTATCCAAGTAAAGATGAAATTAATCATCCTAATTCAAGCCCCCTTCCACTTACCTTTCAACCACCATCTTATGCACTTCTTTCCAATTTTCACTATCATTGTCTGTTCCCATTTCTGGATTCAGTTCCTGGAGAGAAACGCCTGCCACATTCACTCCACTCCACACAGCCACTGTCAAAAAAGGATAAACATTTTATATATTTCTGACACTATTTAAAAAAAATCTTCTCTTAGTTCAGATTTCACCTCTTATGTAAGTTACTAAATACCCACTGCTCCAGTGACAACCGACTCCAGTATAGTTCCTCCAAAAGGCTGACATTTGCCTTCAAATAATCACGTCTGACCTTTTAACTTTCAACCATTTTGGTGCAAAACAGGATTGTTGTATCATACTTACAGAGAATAAGAAGTTCTTCACCTCTCTCTAGGTTTGTGAAATCACGAGATTCTAGTTCAGTACTATTGTAAACTTTGGTTTGAGGAATTCTTAACTTTCTTCCTGCTATTTTTCTAATTTAAGCCCTTTTCTTCTGATGTGAAAAAAAAATTCTTGGCTAAGACCCAAATATAGTCTAATTATCTCTAGGTCTTCTAATGTCCCAAGTTCAGTCTCTCTATCGAAAGACACTCTACGTAACCACAGTGAATTTTTCTGGTCTTAACTGAATCAACTATTTCCTTCCAAGAATGCTTCCAGAGGCACAGCAGACAAAGGTGTTGTCTATCATGGACTATATCTTTTGGAGGCTTTCATGCACCAAAACAACCACCTAACCTACTCTTAAGACTTCCTGCCCAGACAAAAGCATAATTGAAGATCTAGGTGTACAAAGATAAATAAAGGTATGCTTTGTGCTGTGGACAAGTTCAGAATGTACAGGGAGAAACAGGCAATTAAAGAAAACTAACACAATGGGATGAGCTCTCACAGAGGTATGGAGAAGGTATAATTAAACCTAAATAAGGGTTTACTTCATTGAGGGGAAAAAGTGTCAGAAAGGGCTACAAAAAATAGGCATTTGAACTGGACCTTGAAAAACAGATGTATTCCTCAGGGACCTCTGGAGAACATTGTAGACTCGGGAAATAAGAGCAAAGGATGGCGTAGTCTACTATGGCTCGAACCAGCTAGAAAAGGCAAAGTTGCCCATGGCCAAGTAAGACTCCCATTTCGGCCCCAACTTTTGTGAATTTGGGCTAACTGTTGAGACAACTAAGGCATTTTCACGGACTTTGATAAAATCTACATAATCGTGCCTATGTGAACATGCTTTAATTCTCTTTCATTTCATGTACAATATAGATCAACATGGAAATAGGAAAAAAAGATGTTTTGGAAAAAATGTCACAGTAATGAGTGATAGAACATTGAACAGGAGTCAGACGACACGATTCTAGTTGTAGTTATGCCACTAACTAGCTGACGGATCTTCAACAAGCCACTATTGCCTGCTTTGCCTCAATTTTTTCCTCAGTAAAATGCAAGTCTTGAACTAGAGAACATGTAATATCACTCCCAAATCCGTGGTTCCAGTAACTGTATTAATTGTAATAACTAGCATTTAATAAACTTTTACTGTACACCATTGTACTAAATATTTTTTATATAGGACATAAATTCAGACAAATCCTTGGATATTAGGAACTCTTGAATGAAGTGATACAATGTGTCAGAAAAAAACAGCATTACATTAAAAAGTACAAATGTAGTAACTGTAATTCTTATAATATCACAGTAAACTCTTTACTAAAATCACACTACACACTCCCACTAAACTCAAGGGAAAATTTACACCTTAACCTTGTAGGGAGAAAATAGTTCCTTGTGTATAGGGCAGATACGAATTTAGTAAAATATAGATTATCATTATCATTAATATTAAAATGTTTTGGATTATTACAGTATTGTACTATAAAGCTATTCAATGTATTTTGGTTTAATAAATAGGCTTAGACTTACGAAACACAATCAGAATTGTTCATAAATGTTTTTACATAAAATTGGAACAGAAATATTAATTTAAATAAGAGAAATATTAATGTAAAATAAAACATTTAGAATAAGTGGGTTTTTTTTAACTATTTCAAAACAAAGTATTATAAAAGAAATCGAAGTGCAATATAATTTTAACGTTGATCCTATTACAATGATTAATTTATTTCCAACAATTCTATTTAAATGCCTAAATAAAATATTTGAGAGATTTACCATATGGTCTCATACTACTTAAACGACTGATAGTAATGATTATTTATTAAAAATCAGATTTCTTATGAAACAAGATTTATTTTACATAATAGAATAGTAGACACTGGTTACTTAAAAGCTTTTGTTACCCAATTCACTCCTTCAATAAACACGATGGATACAACAGCTCTGTCCACTGAAAGGGCCTAGAAGCAAAGATATACCAGGAGCACAGGGCACAACTATGCCCAGATCTTGGTTTGTAAATACCATTCCCCTTAGAAGGAAACAGGGCTCATTAGATGGTTCTAGTGCTGGGAAAGGAAAAGCACAAGATGAGGCTGGTGCACTTTATTGTTTCAGAAAGCAAGGAAGGTCTCAAAAAGTGATCAGAAAAATGAAGAGACAGGATCCAGCCTGAAGAGCCTATTACTTGCCAAATCTGGGACAATCTGTGCACTATAGTTATAGTGACAGAATATTCATGCAATAAAATAAAAATCTGAGTCTACACTGATATAAATAAATGAATAAATAAATAAATGGGGAAGAAGAGAAAGCTCTCTCTTACATTAGAATACAAATAATAAATATAGAAGAAATGATGGAATTAGAATACCATGTTTGACAACTATCAAAGTAATAATTTACTTAACCAAGAATCATTAATGGATACTAAACTTAGCAGGCAAAAAATTGACGAGGAATCAGATATTTACCTAATCAGTATCAAAGTATCTTCCCAAATATTACATATTACTTATTTGTAATGGGAAGTATGTGAAAATATATAAAAATAAAATTTAAAAACAAAAAATTCATAATGGCAAGAACAATACCATAAGTGCACAGTAATATTGTTGATTTTTTTTTTTTTTTTTACCGCTTGAGTCGCCATGTTCTCCCAAAATCCATCCATGGCAGCTGCTGGGATGAATGCCAAGTTTTTCAGCCATAAGGTAGCGAAATCTAGCAGAATCCAGATTACAGCCACTTCCAATCACACGGTGCTTGGGTAATCCACTTAGTTTCCAGGTAACATAGGTGAGAATATCCACTAACAATTTCAGAATAATATACGTAAGTAAATCAAAACTGATTGCAACTGCTATGTCAATTAGTAGGTGCCCTGGCTTCCTCTTCTCCCACCTCCCCACTCCCCACATCAGATGTGGCCAGAAAGGTGTAAATACTTTGACTTTTCATAGTTAGAGATAATGGGAGTTAGAGAGACAAGGAAAAGCTTTTAAGCCTTATATTAAGAGAGATTGTAAAACACGAAAAATGCGATATTGTGGTTTTTTATTTACACTATTACTTGAACCAAGAACACATAAAAGCCTTGCACATTAATTAACTTACTGTATGTGGAAAGAGAAAAAAGGTTGAATTAGATGGTCCCTTAAGTTTCTTCCAATTCTAACATTCCATGATTGTAACGACTGTCATCATAAACCAAAAGCCATTGGTTACTAAATTACCAAGGCATGCTACTATAAATTTTCCTGGGCACAAGATACTATTCAGTAGGCGATTGTGATAATACAGAGTATTAACATTTTCTATTTAATAAAAGGGCCTCTAAGACAGAACCTTTGTTCTGGTGTGCACAGCCCTGAGACTGCACAGAGGGGAAATCTGCTGGTCTAGAGAGTATGATAGCCCTTACAGGCTAAGCTGTGAACAGTGGGAAAATGTGCACACAAAGAAGCCAAGAAGTTAATCTTGCAGTCTCCACCTCCACACTCATATATAGACACCGGCTAAGATATTTTAAGGTCACTTTGGACTGGAGATTATGAACTCTTCCTTGGCTACTTTGATTCAGTGGGAGTGACTCCCTGGAGAGTTAAGACTTTGAAGCTATACCTAGAAAGTTGTATAACCAGTTAATAATGTCTGCCTTAAGACACAGGATGCAGCAGCTTCATCCGTGCCAGCTCTTTGTCATTCCTGTTCTGCATCTATCTGCCACTATACATTTATGAGAAGTTTTATATATAAGACTGAACTATTTAGTAAATCCCAATCCAAGACTGCAGAGAATAATACTACTAAAATAATCTCTGTCCTGGCTGGCTCCCAACTCTCAATATTCCGTAAACTGTTAAGGATTCCCTTGGTTCTTATTCACAATCTGTCCCTATGTGAAGTGTCAGAGACAATCAGTTTTACCATTTTATCAATGTATCCACTATGCTCACCAATAAGCAATGTTTGGTGGCAAATTACAGACAAAAGAAGTGTAAAATAGAGAGTGAATTTTGACTGTTTAGCGGGAAAAATGCTATTCTTTCTAACCAGAAGTTTTAATGTTTATTCTGCAAATGTTGATTTAGCAAGGAGAGCAGCTTTTAAGTTATAACATTTGGTGTTAGCATGTCCACTAATACAATCTATTACCACCTTTAAAACTGAACTGATTAATAGTTTTTAAACGCTTCTTTTCAAATTCAGTCATTCAATTTTGAAGAGTTTTAGAGATAAGGCCACGAGAATGCATTTTTCGGCAAAGAGAAGGTCAGATATGCTAAAATGTTTCTTACGAATTGGAGACACATTCAAACATTTCATTATGCATCCCAGGATAATCTTTATAGAAAATGTAAAAGCTTTTAGACTCTACAACCAACCCAGATGAAACAAACAGATGAACGCTTTAGAGAAAACTCTTCTCACATTTTTAAACACTTGGCCCGGGACAGTGCCATTTGTTTTGCAAACACCACTCTTTTGCGGCCAATAACAGAAGACAGATGAATTGCTTCTGCTGGTGAATATCAGAACAGATTTTTTTAACTTCAAAAAACAAAATAAACAAAACCCAAAAACATTAACCGAAGTGAACCCTAAGGCATTATAATAATACCTGGGTTGGAAACCACAATGATGATGCAATCAGGACTGTACTTGACAATCTGAGGAATAATGAATTTGAAGACATTAACATTCCTCTGCACCAGATTGAGACGACTCTCTCCCTCTTGCTGGCGGACTCCTGCAGTTACCACCACAATCTTAGAATTGGCGGTCACAGAGTAATCTTGAAGGAGAAGGGAAAGAAAGATACTTCAAATACAACTCCTCATCAAAACATATCATATACGATATGCTCTAGAAAGCTAAACATACAAAAGCTTCTAGAACTTATATGAGAATTACGTTTTCTGTATTATAAGGTTTTGAAGTGCAATGCTCCTGTGGCTTCTTCCTCCTTGAGCTACATGGAAACATTCCAACCATAAAACTGGCTCAGAGAATGGACTAAGGAAATAAGGAAGGCCTTAAATTATGTTTCTGGCTAACAAATTCAAAATGCTCTTACTTCAGAGAATATTCGATTGTCAGTAATAATACAAAGCATAAACAGTTGAGTCCAAAGTTCAACAGGCCGCCCTCCAACACAAAAGCAATTTAAAGGTACCTTTAGTCTTATAATGTTAATTCAACCTACAAAGCGAAAAGAAGGCAATGAAGGGTTTGTTCTTGGCTAGAAATTAATTTCTAATACTCAATATTTTAAGGGAGCTTATTCACTTTTAGCAGTGAGTTTCTCTAGAGAATATTTTATTTTTTCCTCAAGGAAGTGCACCCTTTCCCCAAATACACAGACATTATGATTTGATGTGATCATTAGACTCAACAGCTATGGATGATTCATAAAATTAAACTGTGTTGCTACTTGACTTTTGACAGTTGTTTCACACAGTACCCAGAATGCTAATAATTCAATGAATAACAGCTATTATTAGTAGTAGTATTGTCAGAAATTATTTTGGAGGCCCATGTTTTGATATCTTTAGGCACAGCTGTGCTGAGGTGGCAATATCACTGCATAAACGTGCTAATCCAGAACGGAGATAGCTAGAATATGAATTTGTTTAGTTTCTTCAAGGCACTCAAACGACTTGGTGCAAATATTTTTTTGGATCTAAAACATTCCTGTTCTCAGATACATGTGAATAAGCATGATGACACAATTTCCCAAAATGTCATGTACCAAATGTGTGGAAGGCACGTGGTGGAGGGTTTATAGAGGGAACACTTGCATTTGTCCTCGAGGATGAACTGGACCCAGAAGGAAAGAAAAAACTGCCAACACTCGATTCACCAAGACAGAAGACTAATTTTATATCAGGGAGTGAGGATATTACTTTACTATTAGATCACTTTGCACGTGAAATGAAACTACCTTTATCGGCCACAATTTTAGGTGTCTGAAGAAATAAGCTCCCGTGCTGCAGATCCATCATTTCTCCTTTGAGTTTATCTTCCAAAACATCCACCAGAGCAAGCTCATTAGCCAGAGACTATAAACACAAAACAGGTGTTAGCACCCAAACCACTCGAGGATACCTCAGCTCACAGAACAACCCGGAGACCCTATAAATGGCTCAATACAAAATGTCTAAAAACCTTGAGAATTTTATCACGGAGTTAGGCATGCTCTTGAAACCATTTTATAATAAAACATCTTGAATAATGAACTATTAATATTTAAGACACAGATTTTTCAGAATTTCATCTCCTAATACTTAACTAGGATTCAATTAGCATGATACAAGTCGCTTTAAGAATATACATACACACAAAGACAAATACCATATGATTTCACTCATATGTGGAAGATAAACACATAGATATGGAGAACAGATTGGTGGTTATATGTAACATATTTCATGTTTATATGTTCTATCTCTACATAAATAGTGGGAGAAAAAAACAAAACCCTGGATTCTCCCTTTGAGTAATCATGTACACTCTTCAGCAAGTCCTTGATCTTTTCCTCTTTTTTTTTTTTTTTAAAGATTTCATTTATTTATTTATTTTCCCCCAAAGCCCCAGTAGATAGTTGTATGTCATAGCTGCACATCCTTCCAGTTGCTGTATGTGGGACACGGCCTCAGCATGGCTGGAGAAGCAGTGTGTCGGTGCGCGCCCGGAATCCGAACCGGGGCCGCCAGCAGCGGAGCGCGCGCACTTAACCGCTAAGCCACGGGCCGGCCCGATCTTTTCTTCTTGTATGAATGAGGGGAGCAGGTGTCAATCTAAATGCATCTAAACAACATTTCAGCTTTGAAATCCGGTTACCTTATGGAAAGTCGTAATTTGCAAACGCTTTAAAAAGTAGTTATCCGTCCCATTGAAATACCACTAGAGTCCTTGCCTTTACTGTTTTCAGGGCTGCTGGTAAAATTAGCTGAATATAATATATCAATACTGGAGCCCACTTAAAAATGCAAATACCTCTCCTAAGGATAGTGTGATCAGCTATACAGGTGAAGGGTGTTGATGGGAAGAAAGGGTAGGTAACTGAGGTTCAGGAAGCACTTGGAAGAATAAGGCAGAATAGCCTAGGATGGAACTGGAAGTATTAGGAAGGCACTGACCAGCAGAGGAAGAAGCAGAGGGAGCGAAGATGGTCACTAAGAAAACTTTAGCTTGCCAGCAAAGGAGGTCCTGCTCCCTGTAGAAGCCAAGGAATGAGCACCGTCCCGTCTCTAGAATCCCAGTGGCTGGCTAGCCTCAAGAAGTGAGCCACAATAGGCTTGCTTGTGAGGTTTTCTCTGAGATTCAAGCCTCCTTATGATTGAATGTGTTCTTCGTTACAAGCAACCGATTTACTTGCAAACTTCCGAAATGACCATTTTATGAGGTGGGGATTACTTAGTAACTATTTTCTCCTTTCCATGTATGTCAAATACTGACATTAATTTTCATACTATTTTTTCTTGCCTTTTTTTTTTGGCTGAGGAAGACTGGCCCTGGACTAACCTTTATGCCCATCTTCCTCTACTGTATACGTGGGACATCTGCCACAGCATGGCTTAATAAGCCGTGCGTAGGTCCGTGCCAGGGATCCGAATCTCCAAACCCCCGGCCGCCAAAGCAGAGCACATGAACTTAACCACTATGCCACCGGTCCGGCCCCACTTTTCATCCATTTTTACTTAAACACATGTTTAATACTTTAAAATGCTTTTGTTCCTCTGCAGCTTCTGCTAAGATCACACAAAACCCTCATTTGTGTTTTTTAAGCCCTAAATTAATACAATATAACTTAAAAGCCATAACATTCAGTCAAGATACTGAGCACTAGGAATATCACTCTTATTTTAGCAACATCACATGTGTGCCGTTGCAGTCAACAGGCCAAAATAATTTGGGGCTTAACTGGAAAAGGATGTCACCGGATCTCAGATCCTGTCTTTTGTTTCCGTGGGCGTAGAGAATTGGCTGAGAAGTGCACACTACTTAGCTGGCAAGGAAGGAAGCGATCCAACCCTTTAAAAAAATAACTGCAGCCCTGAATTTAGCTGCATCTGCACGACTGAATATCCTCCAAGTGTGGAGGCAGGCAAACAGAAGACGTGTGATTAAGTACTGACGCTGTTGTTTGGCTGAAATAAATCTCCTTCTGTCTTCACATACTGTATAGCCTATGAATTTATCACATATATTTCACTTAAGCTATAAATATATGGTTTAAAATGTTTGAAACAGCAAGGCTTAGATTAATTGCAAAAGCAGTAACTTATTAAGGAGCAAGGTCAGTTAGAAGCCAAGAACATTACTGCTGAAAACTTGTTTAACATACAACAAAAAGGTCTTTTAATCTCCTGTGTGGACCAGACACAGCCACAACCTGCCTCTTGGTCCTCTTAGCTAATAAATCACTGCCACCAATCCCTTAATATTTGATGGTTTTATTTCAGATGTTTACTCTGCAAGAAATTTTGTGGGAAGAAAAGGTATAACTTTTTCCAAATAATTAGCTAAACGCACAAGCACCATTTATTCAATACTTTGTTTTTCTTCTCTTCTGGAATGCCACTTCTATCTTATTAACTACTTTTGGGGCCTGTTTCTGAGCTTTTAGTCTGTTCCATTAACCTTTCTATTCTTGTATAAATACCAAACTTTAATTAAGTTCCACTTTTAAGCGAAGTCCTGCATTGCAAAAACTACTTTGCAATATGTCTGTAATTACATTGCTCCTTCTAAGAGACTTCTTATGCTGTTTTTGTACTGCAAGAACATGGCTACGGTTGACTGAATCAAGAACAGACACTCAAACCAAAAACAGCTGGACACACAGGCTACAGGGAGAATAACTTTGCCTGGAAGCTCTATGTGACCCTGATGACATGAGGTTTTGGCAGCTAAAATGCAGAGCCTGTGGTTGGTAGTGGGGCAGAAGTCGTATTTGGCAGTAGAAGCCACGGAAAAGGATCAAAATTTGACCAAATGTAAGTGCAGTTTACTAGTAATAGCAGGAATATTCATTTATTTAATACATATTTATTACTGAATGTGCCAGGGATTATTCTACTAATCAGGAACAGGAATGAATAAATTCAGCAAAGGCCCTGCTCTTGAGGACTGCATCAGGAAGGAACTAGGAATTAAACAAACAATGTAAGAGGATTCTGACGATGGAGGTGGTATAAACACCACAATGCAGGGTGATGTCAAAGTTACTGGCAAGAAAGTTTACTTCATACCGGATGGTCAAGGAAGACCTGCCCGCAAAGGTGTGATATGAATAATAGGAAGGAGTCAAGTCTGTGATGGACTAGCGTAGACATTTCAGGTGAGGGAAAAATCAAGCAAAAGGGTTTAAGCAGAAATAAGCTTGGGGTTTTGAAGAAAGAGCACAGAGGGTAAGAGAAGAAGTCAGAGACAGTAGCACCACATTGCACTGGAAGGTGCTACGACACTGTGAAGGGCACCCCCTGGAGTTGTGCACTCCAGTGCCTAGCTCTGAGAGACAGGCAGAGAGATCCTTGACGCCTCACATGATTTTATGTATACATGCAGTATATGTGCACTGTGACACTACTGGAAAGTGTTAAGTAGGAGAGCTACTGTTTTTATAAAAGTTCACTACTGTTATGCCAGCAATGAGCATGAGGAGAGTGGGCAAGAGCAGAGGCAGAAAATAACTGAGTCTTCGTAATGGTGGGACATTGTACTAGAGAGCCTCAGTTGCCTTCACCGGCCTAGCTAAGGTGCAGACCTCCTCAGCCTCGATCTCTGATGCTCTAGCTTCCCTCATTTTCTGGGCCAAAGCAACGTGTGCCTTCTGTAAAGACTCAAAAGGCCAGATCTGCACTTAGTATCTGTATGATCTTAACCAAGTCGTTTAATCTTTCTGAGTTTGGTTTTTCTCAACAGTAATATATAGATGACAGTACTCCCCTGGAACTTCTGTGGAGGAATGAGGTAAAATACAGATGCCTTACACAGTCAGCACTATTTTCCTGTCTTTATTAAACTAGTGGGGTTTACAATCCTCACCAAATATTAATAACAATTTTGAAGCACTTTAATCCTTACCCATTAAAATAAGATTTAAACATTTTTAATGAGTAAAATGGTCTTTGAACAAGGCAGTCACTCCTTCACAGCATCTAAATTGGAAGATTCCTACTGTTAGCAGCAGGGTCTGTTCTCTCAAGCACTTGAATTGGGCCAAAGTATTATATAACGGCAGACACAGTCTCAATTGAATTATTCATTGAAGAGGACTTTAAATGTACAATTAAAACAACCATAGAGGTACTTCATATAGAATCATGATAGCTCAGATATAGTTTTCTGAAAAGTCCAAATTTTGAAATTAGCAGGAGGAAAAGAAGAATTTTTAGCTAGTATTTCATTAATACCTTATGTTTTCAACTGCCTAAATACTAGCATAGAATAAAATACTCGGAGAGTCACTATGGTTAAGAGTTAAGAGCCCTGGGTTCAAAATACAGCTCTAGCACTTCCGGCTGTGTGACTATGGGCAGGCTACTTATTCTCTTCCGGCCTCAGCTACCTCATCTGAAAATGGGATACGAAATTCCCATTTCCTGAGGTTGTTGTTTAAAATGAAGCATTTTTATTAAAACACTTCAAACATGGTTTGTTGTTAATGCTATGGAGTCAATCCCGACTCCTTGGGACCCTGTGCACAGCAGAGTGGAACCCTGCCCAGTCTTTTTGTGCCATCCTCTCACCTTCCAGCGCTATATCAGACAATGCTCCACTGCTATTCATAGGGTTTTCATGACCAGTATTTTTGGAAGTGGGTGGCCAGGCCCTTCTTCCTCGTCTGTCTTAGTCTGGAAGCTCCGCTGAAGCCTGTCCACCATGGGTAACCCTGTTAGTATCTGAAATACCGGTGGCACAGCTTTTAGCATCACAGCAACATGTAGCCACCACAATATGACAACCGACGGATGGTGGTATGGTTCCGGGAACTGAACTCGGGCTGCACTGGTGAGAGCAACAAATCTTTATCTTAACTACTAGACCACGAGGGCTAGTACAAACGTGGTACACACTCAATAAACATTTCAAAAGAAATATCAGCTGGAATACTCTTTGTTTTACTGGCATAAATAGTGAGCACTAAATTGTGATTATTTAAATTCCCTGTAACTTGGGAAGCAGCTCTCCTAAATCAAAGACACCTAGTCAATGAAGACTAGCCAGAAAAAATGCAAAAGAATAAAACTTTCATAGGTGTGCACTACATATTTTAGTTATTTCTTTGATAACTTTTTCTCAGTAAAGATTCAGAATTTGTTCCTTTAGAATTTTAACTTTGCAAACAGAAACACGCTTGGCTAGGAGTTATTCAGGCAGCCTTCACATATGATACAAAGGGACAGTGTGCTCTACTGAAGGCGAGACGGCATTTTTTTGGGGGGCTGGAGGGTGGTTCCTACATTTAAGGCAGCCTTCAGAAAGAACAAGGAATTGATTCAGTGAGGTAAATAAGAGCTCTTTCCTCAAAAGTCCTTGGAGACTAAAGAAAGCTAACTGTGCTTTGAACCGCAAGGGGTATATATGAGGCAAGCCAAAAATCTATGGAGGTATGTAAGGAAAGTACAGTCTGGAGGAGTAAAAGGTACCAACAGTACAGCAACAGCGTAAAATCTCCTGATGTTGATCGTTGTGCTGATTATGTGAGAATATGTTAGAAATATTAGGAACTGTACTCTGGAATTGTACAATATTAGGAAATGTACTCTGAAGGACTTAGAAGGAAAGGGCATGATATCTGCACTTATTCCCAAAGGGTTCAGAAAAAAATCCATTATATGTATAGTTAGAGAGGCAGAGAGAGAGGGAGACATAAAGATAAAGAGAAAATTTAAAAATGTTAAGAATTGGTAAATCTGGGTGAAGCAGACATGGAAGCTTTACTCTTTTTCCTATTCTTACAAATTTCCTGTAAGTTTGAAATTATTTCAAAATAAAGTATTGGGTGAAAGTTAGAATGGAATAATGAGATATTTCCACGACCTCAAAAAGCCACTGTACATGTTATTTATTAATTATAGAGGGTAACAGGACCTTTGCAGTGGAGAAATCTTGCAGTCACCACTTCAGCCAGAGGATTCTCGGCCATCATCATTAACGAGACAAGTTGAACATCACCTGCCTCCTGATGTGATGCACCGGGAAAGTCATGACATCACTAGTCATAACCCCCACCCCAAAATTTAACCTGGACCTAATTACAATGAAACATCAGACCAACATAATTTAAGGGACATTCTACAAAACTGACAAGGACTCTTCAAAAATGCCAATGATGTGAGAGACAAAAAAAGGCTGAGTAACAGTTCCAGATTAAAGAGACATGACAAGTCTATGAAATATATGATCTTGGATTGGGGTGAAAACGGCTATAAAAAGCATGATTTTGACAGCTGGAGAATTTTAAATCTGGGCACTGTACATTAGATAATAATATTATATCAATGTTAAGTTCCCTGAGTGTAATTACTCTATTGTGTCTGATAGGGAGAGTATCATTCTCTTGGGAGATAACATGCTCATGTATTTAAAGGTGCAGTATCATGTCTACACCTTACTTCAAATTATTCAGAAAAAAAAATCTTTTAAAGATGCAATAAAATTCTGATGTGCCTAAAGAGATTGTATATACATGCTGAAACTGTCTATCATGTTTGGTGTTCTTGAAATGTACCTTTCCCAGAATGCTGATGGCACAGGCCATACCAACTTGTCCAACACCCACTACGGTGATCTTATTGTTTGGAACCGTTGCCTCTTCTTCCGCAACTGGTGCAATCAGTTTTTCCTTAAGAGTTGCCATCCTGCACTGCGTGAAAAGAATCAGAAGATTATACATCCATCCACACAAGCAACATGAACAGGAATAATCTATACAATGTTACTGTTGCAATTTTGAACTAAAGTACAGTTTAAAATGAGCCTAATACTATTCTAAAACAAAATACATTTTAAAGAACCATGTAACCCATTTAATGAGGTATTTAATCAAGACAAAAACCTCCATGAAGCCTATTTGAATTTGGGTTCTTTTCCTCAGCCTGTGATTCCACGTTAGTATAACAAGTTGTAACAATTTTGTCTTGTGGGTCTTTGTTTACTGGCTAAAAGACATGAATATTTATACTTAAAGTAGCTGATTTGTTTCTAGTCCCCCATAAGGAATTTATATGTAACTGGGCTTGGGCCCAGTATTAACCCGTATCTAAGCTTGATCTAAAAGAATTAATAGGCAGTTATAAATATAATTTCTACTACTAATGGTTATTATCACTTTTGGAAGATAGGGACTGATTGGTTTTTCATCTTTAAGTCTCACTTAAAATGTGTCACAGTTCACTAGACATAAAATGTGTGCTTAATAAATACAGTGACAATAAAATCACAATGAATATTTTGCAAAATCTGCAAAAATATTACTCTGAATTTCTTTTAGTGCACCCTGGAAGCTTATTGGAAGGTGGATACTTAATACATTTTCCTTTAAGGAGGTCCCATTAGAAGACTATCAGCCTTGAATTAGTCTCTTTCTAGCCATTAAAGAAAAAAAAAAAGCCAAAAAATAAAATAAAATTGAAATCTGTCTGAAAACAGTCTATATGGTAACATCAAATTTATCTGTGCCACCAGTTATTCGAGTGTATTTTCTGGATAACTAAAACAAATGGCAAAATTTATTGAAATAAACATCAATTCCATGGCAATTTTGTATACAAAATATACCGCCTTGCCTTCTCAAACAGAGACGGGGTACAGATCACAAATAAGCTCTTTCTTCATAATTAAGTATCACATAATTACAACCCATCATAATGATTATTATTTTAGTTTGCCTTCTACTTTTTATGCTGGACTGTTGCATCGGAGGCCACTGGACCTGTTTCAAACTGTACCCCTGCCTCCCAGTCTTTTTTTTTGTTTCTCATCTGCAATGGACTAAGTAACAAAACCTAGTTTAGTAATTGTAAATGTTAAGAAAGAATTAGTAAGGCTCTGAATTAGAATAAAGTACTTGGAGACGACTGTGTAACAACTATTTTGTTCTATATCTATTTTCCCCCAATCTTTAGGGACTAAATCGAGCGATTCTTTTGCCTTCACAGAGTACATCTGCTGCTTTCTCCTGGATGCTAAAAAAGAAATATACAACCCCGTGCAACTGCCTCCACAAATAGATGACCTTACAATGAAATTCACACGTCCTGCCTTTTGAGCAGAATCCGAAGAAGGCCACATCTCTTCTTCTGGAACCAAGATACAAATGCACAGTTTTCCTCCATTAAGTTTATTTTCATTAGTTGGTATGTTTAAGGTCTTTTAGGTATATACGGAACCCAGTAAGAAACGGAAAACAAAAATCCAGAAATGGTGGTAATATAAATGTAGATTAGTTGTTCAGATAGACTTAATTAAATTAACTTTGGGAATTTCCGAAACTACAATTTAGAGGCTCCAGCCAGTAAGGATTTTCTTTCAGATCTTTCTGGAGAAAAGTGTTTTTCTTTTATTTTTCCTTAATAGGAGTTATAAAAAATTAGAAGAAAATGTTCTATATTATATGCAGGCCTGTGCCAAGATCACAGAAGTGGCTGTAAGGAAGAAGAAAGGGTAAAAAAACCCTGCGATTCTTGGTCCTTTACATCCCTACCCCCATGTATATCATTGGAAATGAACCAATGCCTTACGTTCAAAGATCTTAACAAAGATCCTCTTTGCAGAATCTCTCTCAAATCTATAACCTTTTAGAAAGCCACGTCTTGCCATCTAATTCCTCCCTAAGCAAGTGCCAGGCCTCCCCTTCCCCCTCTCTAGGCCCCGTGGCAGCTAGCACTGTTCGCCGCCCACAGGTCACCTCTTCCTCCTGGTGCAGGAAGCGGGGAGGGCAAGTCACAAGGGGAGGAAAGCACACTTCTCCTAGGAGAAGGTCTCTAGCGAAAAGTCTAGGCCTTCCTTTTTCTGAACACCCAAAGCTGGCTAAGTAAGCAAAACACCCGAACCATTCAGAAAAAAGGCCAGAAAAGAACGGGCCTACCGCTCCGGGAAGGGTCGCATCTGTAGCCAGGTCAAGACTGGAGCGCAGGGGCAAACCTGCTGATCATCCTTTACCCTCAGCCCCGCAAAAGCAGGGGCATTCCTCCACTCCCGTGGTAGTAGATTCCAAAACCCAGGTTCAAGATCAGCCAGCCTTCGCATGTCACCCGGTTCCTTCTTCCTCCCCTAGCTCCTCAGGCACGTGTCCGGGCTCCCGCCAGCAGGCACTGGAGGTGATGTGGCCGCCATGAACCGATCAAAGACACGTAGGGCCCAGGTTTTAGGTACAAAAGCGACAAGTCTTTCCCCTGATAGAGCTGGAGGCGAGCCCTGGTGCGCGGCGACAAAGCTCGGTCGCAGCCCCTTCGCTCCGCCTTGCTCCCCGGCCGAGGGCACCGCCTGCCGCCCCAAACCCGGGGGCTGAGTCAGGGCTCGAGCCCGGATGCTCAGGGCTAAAGGTCCCAGAGGACAGATGTCCTTCTTGGTCCTTCCCCCAGTCTTACTACACAATGACTCCCCTGCACATCCCACCGGTTTGCCTGTGAGCCAGGATTCAGGGTCCTGAGCTGAAACCTACCAGGAGAGAGAAGGCTCTCGAGACGGTTGTAGGAGTCGCGCGAAGAAGACAATGTCAGCAGCGTGCGTCTCCTCTGGCGCAGGATCTGCAAAGAGGGAGGAGGAGGCGGGGCCCACCCCCTCGCAGCCTCTTAGCTTTCTCTATTGTGATTGGAAACCCGAGCACCGCCTACCCCTCCCCTCCGCTCGCTCAATCCCCTTCAAGGACAAGGGCTCAAGTGTGCGCACGCCCGCGCTCTCCCCAAATGAGGAGGTCACCTTCTGGTGGCTGAGGAGGCCTGTGCCCTCAGCCAGTCTCACAGTTTGCAGTCTCTTCAACACAGAGACCGCGGTGTTTCTAAAACCTGACCATCTTCGGCTCTTCTGGACTCTCACACTCTTGTTTGGATAGATTTAGTCCAAATAGAAATAAGTTTTGTTTTGCTTTCCGGGTCAAGTTTAGAGGACCCATGTTCTTCCCTAAGATTGTGGTGGTGTGTTCCCCTGGAATAGTATTGGTGCTTCTGAATATTTTTAAAAATAAAACTGAATTTTCAATTTTCATCATCTCGGATATAAAGTTGATTTGATACAACAATGACTGGTGGGTTTTTTTCCACCTTAATTCAGCAAATATGCATTAATTGCCCGCTAGTTGCCTGACAAAACCAGTGAAGCCTAGTACCTGCCCTCTAAAGTTCTCTGCAAATCTGTATGGTCTCAAGGGCAAATAAAAATGGGGCCACTAGCAAGATGCAGTTTCTCTGTTAGTCTCTGAGCAACTCCAAAGCTGCATGTTGCCATTAATCTCTGTGCCTTCAACACCTAGCCCAGTGCCTGGTATCTCAATACAGTGTTGGTGAATGAATGAATGAATGATGAATGGATGATTAAGCAGTTGGAGATATCCTGAAGATTCAGCTTCAGTTGTGTGTGTGTGTGTGTGTGTGTGTGTGTGTGTGTGTGTGTGTTTTAATTAAAATGCTTTCAGGTATAGAAATCTCACAAAACTCCCTGTATGTGAAAGGGAGTTTTTTATTAGTATTTTTTTTTTCCTGGTAAATGGCCATTAGTCCTATAGTTGCTGCTTTAATTTCATCCCAGTCCTAAGCATTGAAGGTACAAAAATGAATATGTATAACACTGCACCCCTTCAGATGCTCCCAGTTCAAAGCAGATAGACAAGTAGACAAAACCTTTCAATTACGATACAATGTGATAAGTGTAATCGAGGTTCTTTAAAGTACAATAAAAATACAAACAGAAGAGCCACTAAGAAAGAGGTGTGTTTAGAGGAATTGATAAACCTCCAATTTTCCAGTATTATAGAGTCCAGTTAGTGGGGACTTTGAATGACCCTGAAGATAGATACAGTCCAATTACAAATTGAAACATGATGACCAGGGAGAGGAAGAGCTTGGTGGATAATCTCAAAAGTATTATTACATTCACTTGAATCCAGATTTGAAGCAAGACTAGCAAGTCACTCTAGAAGAAATCTAGAAGCCACCCTAGACCTCTTTCTCACCTACTTTCTAAGAGTCAATCTACATCTTCTGTAAACTCCTAGCTATCTCCTCAATTTTTCCCCTTCCTGTTATCCCTGTTACTGTGTGTCTTTGGGTGGAGGGAAGAAGGGGTTAGGAAAAAAATAAGAAGAGTTCTCTATTTCTTTCCTCTACACTCATCTCCAACCCCTCCACATCAGTTAATAATCTGATTGATTAAAGTGAGTTCTTCATCTTCAACTCTGAATGCCAGGAGAGCACATACTATCTGTCTCAAAGATTTTTGAGAACTGTATATCCAGGCAAGCTATTTTCTTTTTAAGTGTGAAGAGTGAAAAACAATTTTATATATACAATGACTCAGACAACATACTCCCCTGACGGGCTTCACAACATGCTACCCCAAAATATGGTACTTGGGCATGTTAAATATCTTAAGTTGAAGGGGTTCGAGAAAACAGCAGAAGCAGGAAGGTTACTTTGACCTCCCTTCACCTCGTCCTTCTTCACTGGGAGTGGGAGATAAATCTCCCATGGGAAAGATACCCTCCCTGTACCAGGAGGAAGGGAGACACTCTTATTACCAGAGACAGGATGGTATAAATCCATATAAACAAACTTTGTTAAACCAACCTTTATCTTCCCAGTTACTTCTTCTTCGTTTACTACCCCACCCCAAATCCATCTGTCTTGTCAAATTCTTCACAAATTTATTGTTTCTTTTGTCTAAAAGCTTTCTGCTCTGGTCCCTTCTTTGGGGCTTCATTCTTTTGTGAAGGCTCCCATGTGCATGTAAAAATTTAATAAAATGTGTATGCATTTCTCTTGTTAATGTGTCTTTGTCAGTTTACTTTTCCCAGCAGGGGAACCTAAGAGGGTCTAGGAAAGATGTTCTCCTCTACACCACATATAATTCTGTTCTTTAAGAAATCATTGGGGGCCGGCCCCGTGGCTTAGCGGTTGAGTGCGTGTGCTCCACTGCTGGCAGCCTGGGTTCGGATCCCGGGCGCACACCGACACACTGCTTCTCTGGCCATGCTGAGGCCGCGTACCACATACAGCAGCTAAGAAGGATGTGCAGCTATGACATACAACTATCTACTGGGGCTTTGGGGGAAAAAAATAAAAATAAAAAAATAAAAGAAATCATTGGAAGCTATATCTCAACTCATTGAAAAATAAGCAAAATTAGGGATCCAAGTTAGGGGGAGGTTATAGTATAAAGTATAGGCAGTGTGGCATAATAAGAAATATATTTGGTCTTCGTCTGATTCCAGGCATATAACTCCTAAAACCCTTGTAATTTTCTAAGTGATTGGAGTATCTTTTGTTATTCATAGCAAGTCCTCTCCATCCCTCCTGAGTTTTTGCTGATGAAGTGACTTAGGGTAGGGTCCCTACTTGGCCTTAGGATGGGGATGGGCTCCCCAAAGACCAGGTAATTAGAGGTTTCGAACTTTCAGCTGCACCCACTGACCTCTGGGAAGGGGTAGGAGGGACTGGAAATTAAAGCTCTTATAAAAACTCTTGAACAACAAGATTTGGTGAGCTTCTGGGTTGGTAAGCATACCAGGAGGATGGCACACCCCAGACCTCGCTCTATAAACCTCTTCATCTGGCTGTTCATCTGTATCCTTTATAATATCCTTTATAATCTATTGGTAAATGTGCAAATGTTTCTCTGTATTTTGTGAGCCACCCTAGCAAACTAATCAAACTCATGGGAACCTCTGATTTATAGCCGGTTGGTCAGAAGCACAGGTAACAACCTGGACTTGGGACTAGAGTGTCTGAAGTGGGGGCAGTCTGGTGGACCTGAGCCCGTAACCTGTGGGATCTGATGCTATCTCCGAGTAGATACTGTCAGAATTGAATTAAATTTGCAGAATACCCAGTCATTGTCTGCTGAGAATTGGAGAATTGCTTGGTGGTGTTGGAAAACACAGCAGAGGCAAAGAATGCTAAACTAGTTCATTTAGAGATAAAGGTAATTAATTCCCAGAAATCTGGTTACAAAACTGAATGCAAATGTCAAAAATCATCAAAAGAGGGCCCAGCCTGGTGGCACAAGTGGTTAAGTGTGTGTGCTCTGCTGCGGTGGCCTGGGGTTCGCCGGTTCGGATCCCGGACGTGCACCAACACACCGCTTGGCAAGCCATGCCATGGCGGTGTCCCATATAAAGTGGAGGAAGGTGGGCATGGATGTTAGCCCAGGGCCAGCCTTCCTCAGCAAAAAAAAAAAAGAGGAGGATTGGCAGATGTTAACACAGTGCTGATCTCCTCACAAAAAAAAAAAAAAAAATCATCAAAAGAGAAGATTATTTGTTTCACAAAATATTTGTTGAAACATATGACAGGCATGGACAAGGCGCCTGCTCACGGAGAGCATATGTTCTAGCAGAGGAATATAGATAACAAAGAAGTTGATAACAAATGAAAGGATAAAGCATGTAATATACAATTGCTGTGTCTGGGCTTTTCCTGCCTGTGGGCCATTGTGAACAATATCTATGTGATTTAATAAAGCCTACTACAGAGGATAGAGGGCTTTGCTTTCATAGTAAATGACCACAAACTGTTGTGTTGTTTTTTTTTTTTTCTGACATCTTGTGACTTTAAAAAAATTATCACCTGTTACCAAATTATCAACTGTTTTAAAACCATATGCGTAGAACTTTAGAATGGAATAGGAGTTTCCGTATAATCAAATCCAAATGAAAGCCCAGAATGTGAGTGACTAGCCTCAAGTTACTCTGAGTTTAGAACAGAACTAGAAATAGTTTTAGTCTTGTTGCTGTCTGTGTGCCTGCCTGTGGGGATTCTCTTTGAATTCTATTTTTCTGGGAAATTTTTTCTTCTGTGGTTATGAAGACAGATTAGCTAGTCTTATTAGAGCTGTAAATTGCTTGAGTGTATTTTCTTTATTTTTATATCTCCAAGTAACATAGTATCTGACAAGATACTGATGGTGCTCAGGGCAAGCTACCCCAGGAGGCACCACTCTGGTATGCGGATTATTTCGAGCTGAAGACAATAAGGACTCAGAGAACTCAGGAAGAATATTTGAGTTTCCCCTCCCAAACTGCCTAAAGAATTTAAAACAAAAGATCTGTTTCAAGAAAGAGTTGTTATCATGATGGCTGTAAAGATAATGAAGGATAGAGGTTACAATAGGAAAGGCACCAAGCCTCTTTTATCAAAAACTGTGTCTTTCCCTGACCACATTATCTATAGATGACCCTGAAAAGAATTGTCTTCCTGCCCTCTGAAGTCCCAGGCCACTACCCACGCCCAACACATTCCTTGCCTTTCGCTGCAATACTAAGCAAGCAACTTAGACAGAGGGACGAGTTGCTCATTTCTGAGTTTCTCCCGTGTATACATGTTATTAAACTTGGTATTATTTTCTCCTGCTAACCTGTCTTGTTAATTATTTGGCCAGCCATAAGAACCTTAAGGAAAAGGGCACAGGGAGATTCTCCCTCTTCCTCCGACAATGCTCATATATCTCCCAGCAAGATACTTATTTAACTTGGGGCTCAATATGAGCAAATAAACTCTCTGAGTTAGGATTTGAGAGGCATCTATCCCTTGTTTTACACCATTTTTTTTTTTTTTTTGCCATTTTCCTTTATTTCCCAATCTTAGGTATATTTCAGATAGTTGAAGTAACTTGAAGCTAAGTTTCAAGTAAGTGAGTTGTTACTCAAGTTGAAACTCTAATGGTAATATTTGCTTATAAATGAAGAAGTGATGTTGGTGGGTGTCTCTAAGTACAAGAAAAAAATAAGGCCAGGGAGAGAAACCAATATTAATGGGGAAAGAAGAATTGAAGGTTTAATGTCTCAGAAAGCAAAATAATTAATTTTAATTGTCTAGCCGTCATTGGATAGTTGTAAAATGGGGTACTTTTCCTGTGTACATATTAGCTGTTCCTTTTTAAATGAAGATAATGATATTCTGAATTATACCAGCAGTTTTGCATTGACCCATGGTGGAGTCTAGTTGGATGTGGACTAGTTTGCACTAAGCAGTATGGGGTCCCTAGTATGCATGAATGACATATGTTTAGAAGTAATGTTGTTGGTAACAAATTCCCGGGCCCAAACCGAAGAGTGGGCACAAATTTTTATTTCTCTTGTCCTCGGAGGCTGTTTTGTCTGGGTGTCTGAAAAACACCAGTGGACAACTCTTTGACTAAACATGTCCCACTCATGGAAAAATGCATTCTTGCTCTCTCCTACTGGGGGAGATGGTAAGTCTTTGAAAGGCACCTTAGGTGAGCCTTGACTTGGTAAGCGTTCAGTCCTCTTAAGGTGATATTGAGAAGAAAATATTCACGTAGAGTGAATTGTACACCAGAGTAGAGTTCACAACTTTTTCCTGAAGATTAACTTTCAGGCAGGCCAGTTCCAGCAGAGCCAATCAGAAAGCAGAACTTTCGTACTGCTTTCAAAAAGGTGTCCTTGAGGTTGCCTGGGCACTGCTTCTGGGAACAGAACCTCCCATCTCGCATGCCCTCAGGTCATTGCAAAGGTCTCCATTGTGTGAAGTGCTCCAAGAACCATCAACATTTCCTGTTCATAGAACCATGACCTCTTAATCTTCCTGGTGCCAAGGATTCTTTTTATTTGAAATGTTGATTTTATTTTTTTTAATTTTTAAATGTTTATTTAAATTTCTAAGTGAAATCATACAGTATTTGACTTTCTCTATCTGACTTATTTCACTTAGCATAATACCTGCAAGGTCCATTCACATTGTCATAAATGGAACAATTTCATCATTTTTATGGCTGAGTAGTATTCGATTGTATATATATACCACATCTTTATGCATTCATCTGTCAATGGGCACTTAGGTTGTTTCCAAGGATTTTTGTTATATGATTTCACATACTTCTTTTCTTATTTTAGACACCTTGAAGAAGATGAGTAGTTTTTCTGTGTCTATTTCAAAATATTAATTTTTTTTCTTTTTAGCAAATAAAAGAGAAAGAATCAAATAAAATGGAAATGCTTATAATAAAATAACAGTCCCCCACTCCTTCCTTCTCGTGCCCAGTCTGGATCCTCAGAGCAGCCACTTATTCATCCTGACATCTTGAGTCATAGTCCTGAAGCCCATCTGCTCTTAGCCATCTTTCTTTGTACTCACTTAAAATATGAAGTATTTCTGTAGTCCTTTAAAGCACAACAAGTTTAAAGTGGAAAGTGTTATCACTGGGGCTTTTAACTGGAAAACGCTGGGGCCCACTTGCCTAAAGTTTTCTTAGAGTTCTATAAAGCAATACACATCCAGGAATTTGTTTTATATATAAAACAACTTCATTTATTGTTATAAGTACTATGTGCCAGGCATGTAACGCATGTAATACAAGCAATTACATGAATTAATGATGTGAAATACTTATTTTACTTGTATTAACTAACTTCATCTTCATTTCAACCATATCAGGCACTCTTATCATCTTCATTTTACAGATGAGGAAATTGAGGCACAGAAGGTTAATACTCTGCCCCAGATCACACAGCTAGTAAGTGTGGAAGATCAGAATTCCCACCCCAAAATGTGTCTCTGGAATAAGGATTATTTTGGGCTGGTTAGTTTTAAAAACTGCAGACATAGGAAAAGCTCTGAAAACTAAGTAAAAGTAGAAGTTACCCTTTGTGAGACACATTTACATTTGTAAGGGAAACCTCCATTCGTAAAGGTATCATCTCCCTTCTGTACCAGGAAGAAGGGGGGATGACCTTATCTCCAGAAACTCTTATCAATGCAGAAAGCAAGGACTTAAATCTGCATCATAATCTTACTCTTGTTTACTGTCCTTTTCTGGTGATCTCCCATAACTTACTTCTCCTACCCCCAACATCTTCCTTTGTCTTTAGCTGAAGATAGTATTTAAGGTAACAGCCTCCGCCATTTTGGTGAGTTGCTCGGTTTTCCTGCGGGTCTCCCATGCATACATGTTATAAAGCTTTGTTTGATTTTCTCCCGTTATTCTGTCTCATGTCAATTTAATTCATAGCCCAGCCGGAAGGACCCAGAGGGTAGAGGATTTGTCTTCCTCCCCCACAATTTGGCGACTTGGACAGGATAAAACTTCACTGGCTGGATGCTGCTTGCTCCTGGATACTGCAGCCAAAAGATCCTGGACCCCTGACAAGAGCCGGCATGTGGTAAGAGTTCTTACTGTCAGTCTCCTGGATCTCTGCCTGCAGGGTCCAATGGAAGTGAGAGTCATGAGTTTTTTTCCTTTTCTAAATTTAGATTAGCAGGAGAAAATATTGTGAAGCTAGCTTCTTGGACTCAGTGACTCTAGAAAATTTGGTCGAGTACTCATTGGTTTGTTGATCCTTTTCCTGCCAGAGACAGTCACTGTTTTTCCTTGTCTCTGTCATTTTTTGTCATTTGTCGTAAGACACAGGCATCTCTATAAGCCTGTTGTCTGGGTTTCTTCTGTCTTGTTCTGTCTTCAGAGCTTGGCTTCGTGACCTTTCTGGTCTCCACCATCCAGAGGATGCATGTACTGGCATGCATCTTGGCAGCCAGTCGAGTATACTGGGGTGTCTGGACACATTCTCTTTGTCCGGCTGTGTCAGCTCTCAGGGGAGTTTGTCATAAGGGGTCCCAATTGCTTTCATAAGGGGCCTTTGTCATCTCAACCTTCATTGCTTATTGTGCAAAAAAGGCCCTTGCTTTCTTAGACTATTTTTGGGAGTGAACTTTCTGGATCTCTTTTGGGGACTCCTCTTGTGTCTGTGGTTAAGCTTATTGGTATGAGTTACTGTTAAGATCCTACTCATCAATGTGGCCAGATGATGGATCATTCAAATTGGAAAAGCTTCTAAATTGGGGAAAAAAATTGTAAGAGCTCTCATCATAATTATTTTATTGGTACCTATGAAAAGGCCAAATTAAGAAAAGGAAATTTAAAAAAATGACTAGTCTTAAGACCCTGACTCAGATTACAATTAAATTGAGAAAATGTAAAAGTGTAAGTGCTGATAAGATTATAAAGGTTGGAATGTTTGAACTAGTTTTATATAAAGAGGTTATATCAACTTTGCCTGAGTATGTTTTAAAATGTCTGACTGACAATGCTTCTCCTATCCAAAATTATAAGACCAAGACCTATTGATAAAATCCTAATGAAAACTATGATTAGAGGTATAAGAGTTGATGGAATTCAGATGAAATTTTGTAGGAAAATTGATATATTTATGGGCTTTTATGTGAGGTGACTCCATCTCTTTTTGACTGATTGTACTGTGGGGATAGATACTGTGTCTCACTCGGGAACATTTTCCCTGCTTGATTGTAAGACAGCACATAAATCTGCCCTTCAGATAATGGTAATTAAACATTCCAAATGGAAATCAGTAGGGTTGCCTGAGCCTACACTGTATGAGATAAAAGCTAAAGGCCAATATCAGCTACTAATAAAAAGATAATAAAAGCTCCCCCCCGACCAAGGTAAATTGGTCTAGGGTTAAACTGTATGCTTAGAAAAAAAGGGGGGAGGCCTTTGTTAAATGCTTTGTGCAGACTTTTAAATATGTGATACATTGTTCTGAAAGTTTTAGAACATGTAAATCTTTTTTTTTTTCCTGAGGAAGATTCACCCTGAGCTAACATCCGTTGCCAATCTTCCTCTTTTTTCTTTTTTAGCTTGAGGAAGATTAGCCTTGAGCTAACATCTGTGCCAATCTTCCTCTACTTTCTATATGTGGGTCACCACCACCGTATGGCTGACAAGCGATGTAGGTCCACGCCCAGGATCCAAACCCAAGAATCCAGGCTGCTGAAGTGGAGCTTGTTGAACTTAACCACTATGCCAGGGGGCTGGCCCCAGAACATACAAATCTTTTGACTTACCTCTTGCGTTAGAAATTTCCCTGATATAAAGAAGCAATTGGAAGGGTGTAGCTGGAGAGGTGGGTCAGCTCTTGTCATTTAGACTGTAATCCAGATCTTTGGGGAACTGGAAGCAACCATCTTTGTCTTGCAAATCTGTGCAAGGCTGGAGGTATGACTCTAGAAAGCAGTTCAAAGTTCACCTGTCTTTTGCCAATCCCAAAACCTCCCCTGTTCCTCTCAAAATTCTCCTAGACATTGATTGAAACAAAAGATTGAGACATTAGAAACTGACAAGGCAAATATGCCCAGAAACTCCATCTTGAAGAAAACTGGACTGCTTTCTCTGTGTGTTTGTGATGTAGGTTTTCTGCTCCCATCTTCTCTAGGACCTGAGAGCCATTCTTTGAACTGCAAATGTTTCTCATAAACTAGTAAGTTTTGTATTACACCTGATTCATAAAATTTAATGGAAGCTATAAGGTCTCTGTCTGTGTCTACCTGTATGCTTATGTGTGTCAATATGTATGTTATATATGTGTGATATTTTACCTCCGGATGGTATGGCCAAAATTAAGAGCTCTGTTTAATTGACTTACAGTAAGCTCTTGCATGTATTTCAAGTTAACGTGATATGAAATAATCTTTAGTGAATGAAAGCTTGTTTAAGTTTGTTGGATTGATTAAAATACGCATGTCCTCAGAGTTGTCAGCATTGGATCTGATGCAGACATGCAGCCTTGGTTTACTAGTTAAATAAGTTCATGTCATCCCTGTTACAAATTTGTCAGCATAATAACTTAAAATGATAGCTAATTTTGTCTAAAGTCTCATGAAGTTTTCTTGGGTAACCTAAACACAGTTGTGGGGAACAAACGATTTAGATGTAAATGAGATAAGAATTTAAACTTTTAACAATAATTATATTTTATAACATGTATTTAATAACTTCCAAAATTTCTTTAGTAACTTGAAACTTTGAAATTTTGTTCAAGGGATGGAAAATTCATTGAATATCTACATTATTTATAAATAAATAAGATAAAATACTAGACATTAATTACTAAATATAAGTTTACCTACTTTTGTCTTATTACAGAGAAACTAAAAGGTGTTTGGGTCTATTGGTGAACATGTGTTTTATTAAAAGATTGTACTATAAAGTAACATGTTTCTAGAAATTATAAAAAGTATTTATAAATTTGTCAAGCCACAAAATGCTAATGTAAAAAACAGGTTTTAATTGCTTACTTAGTTTTTACTTAGAAGTTGCGGTTTCTAAGGGTTAAAAATTCTAATATGTGATGTCCAATATGTCTATTAAAAATTGAGGAAAACATATTTGTATTCAAGGAAAGTAAGATGTATGTTTTCAGTAAAGAAGGTATAAAGAATGAAAATATTTTTGCTTGTTTTGTTAAGAAAGATAACTTTGTCGCAAATTACTAGAAGGGAAGAATGAAGGCATTGGATAAATTCTGAACGTAAAAAAAAAGAAAGTTATAGGTTGTGAAAGAGGAATTCTGAAAAAAAGTTTTGCACATGGTCAAGTAGGCTAAGATTAAACTGAATTTAAGTAAATGAGTTAACTTCATTAAAATATGAAAAGTAAGCTGATGCAAAATTAGAATTTGTTTTTTTCCCTCTCTCTTATAAGGATAGTTTTCCTGGACTTTTAGTCTGCTCTTGGTAAAGAGATTATGAAAGATTTTTTTTCTTTGAGTAGTCTACCAGAAAGGTAGGGATTTTGTGTTTTATCAAAATAAATTTTCTGTATTGTTTTTATCAGGTCTTTAATCACATGTGCTAAGGTTTTTCTTATAACTATTTAATTTTCTACATTTGCCTGAAAATATTTAATTATCACCATGGTTAAATGGATAACTAAACATTGTTTCATAGGGACCTATGATATTGTGTGGGTAAATGCTATTGATCTAAGTGTTTTAAAAATTATATAACATTCCTAGAATTCTGATCTGTCCTGGTCATCAGTCATAATTCTAGTTATTATCTTAAAGTGTTGTATGTCACAGAAATAACCAAGTTTCTTTGCCAATTGTCATTTTTAAGTCTTTCGTCATTTACAGACAGTTTTGTTTTACTCTACTTTTACAAATGTTTTCATATTTAGAGAGAGATTCATGGAAAGGACTCTGACACCTATTCTAAAATACAAGTTTCTGACAAACTCTCAGATTATAAAACTGAATGGGGTGAGAAATTACAGAACTCTAACAGAGAAACTGATGACTTCATGAAACTGGTAACAAAGATCAAGAGTTGATTATATGAGACTGAATGAACTGATGGAGATGATTATGAATTTTATGACTTCATTTGAAATATTCCTGATTTTTTAAATGTTTTGATTTTTTTCGGTTTTAAGGAAACCTTTTTCTCTTTTCCCTTAAGGTAACTATGACTTATAGAAATTTGGTAAATTATACTTTTGTAAACAGAATTGAAACATTTATCTTTTTCTCCCTACCTGATCCCTCCAGAATTTGGAAACTCTTAGTGAGTGAGTATTGTTATTTTTACAGCAATATAGTTATTGCATAAGTTCAATAAGAATCTGTTCTTCTTATAACAGGGCACGATTGGAAACATATAGTACCAAAGCTTTGACTGGAATGTCATATTTGAGAGAAACAAATATAGACTCAGATATGACCAGATAGCTTTTGAGAAACAAAGATTGGACTTTATGAAATAAAGCCAGTTGGAAATGTTGGCCTGGTACCATACTGGATGAGTAAAGAAGGTCACTTATCTGGCAGGTTGAAGGAACCTCAATATTTTGGGGAACCTCAAAAGAAGAGAGGAATTCACCCAAATCTGTAGGTATTACAAGCAAGTCCGATGACAAAGTCCTTGGCTTGGTTTTCCTGGCTTCAAGAGGCATTTAAAGTTCAATCTGAGATTCCTTATAAAAAGTTCCAGCAAAGCAGTTTTAAAAGAGCTTATATGATCAATTGCTATTCTTGCTGTACTTATGTAAATAATTGGGCCAAATTTATTGAAACTAGACTTTACAAATGAATTAGTCTTAATTTGGCTCTCTTTGGTAAAAATGAGGGTGAATTTAGAGAGAAAAATTATGTTTCTGTAAAAATTATAATACACATTTGTGGATATTAGATTCTAGTTCTGTTAATTGTCTTTGAGGCTTTTGTTTTCTACCTGTAAACTGGAGAGGATCCTGAATTTTTCTAGTCTCCTGAAATATCTGGCTAAAAATCTCGAAACTAACATTTTCAATTTTTTCCATCAATTTTATTTCAAATCAGTGAGAACTGAAACCACCCTTGTTCCCAAAGACTTGAAAACTGAAGCTGGATAACTTGGTATAAACTTTGTAAAGATCACCGTGATAACATTCCTATTGCTGTATAAGACACTCAAAAGGCTACCTGAACACCTGATGACATCATCAGAGACATTTCAAGCTGCAAAAGATGCTTCAACACTGACATCTAGAAATCTTCTTCGTTGGCTGTCCCCTGGGCTCAGAAACTGGTTTATAATTTGCTCCAATCATTAACCTTGTTTTTCTTTTTGTTTCTATAGAAATGCTTCTTATTAAATACTGATTGCTTGCTTCCACAGCATGAGCCTAACTTTGGGAGCCCACATGCATCACCACTTTCTAAAATGAATTTAACTGGATTGATCTATTTTCAGGACTAAAAACTTGTTCAGTGAAACAAGTGAAACAGTGAAACAGATGAAACAATCTACCAACTCAGCTTCTGGACTATGAAACTTCTTATATGTTCAAAGGACTCTGAAACTTCTTAAAGTTTCAAAGACAGGACTGTGGGGGATCAGAACTGGCCATCCCAAAATGTGTCTTTTTGGAATAGGGATTATTTTGGATGGTTACTTCTAAAAACTGCAGACATAGGAAAAGCTCTGTAAACCAAGTAAAAGTAGAAGTTATCCTTTGTAAGGGAAATCTCCATTGTAAAGTTATCTCCCTCTCTGTACTAGGAAGAAGGGGGGATGACTTTATCTCTAGAAACTCTTATGAATGTGGAAGGTGAGGACTTAAATCTGCATAATAACCTTACTCTTGTTTAGTGTCCTTTTCTGGTAACCTCCCATAACTGACTCCCCCCACCCCCAACATCCTCATTTGTCTTCAGTTGAAGATAGTATTTTTTTTTTTCCTGAGGAAGACCGGCCCTGAGCTAATATCTATTGCCAATCCTCCTCCTTTTTTTTTTTCTCTCTTTTTCTCCCCAAAGCCCCAGTAGATAGTTGTATGTCATGGTTGCACATCTTCTAGTTGCTTTATGTGGGACGCCGCCTCAGCATGGCCGGACAAGTGGTGTGTCGGTGCGCGCCCAGAATCCGAACCCGGGCCGCCAGTAGCAGAGCGGGAGCACTTAACCGCTAAGCCATGGGGCTGGCCCCTGAAGATAGTATTTAAGGTAAGGGCCTCCACCAATTTGGCTGAATGTCTCCCATGCATACATGTTATAAAGCTTTGTTTGATTTTCTCCTGTTATTGTCTCATGTCACTTTAATTCCTAGCCCTGCCAGAAGGACCCAGAGGCTAGAGGATTTGAGTCCCTCCCCTACATAAGCAAACTGGTTTAAAATTTTGGCATAGGGACCAGCACGGTGGTGTAGTGATTAAGTTTGCGTGCTCTGCTTCAGCGGCCCAGGGTTCGCAGGTTCAGATCCCAGGCATGGACCTACGCACCGCTTATCAAGCCATGCTGTGGTGATGTCTCATATAAAGTAGAGGAAGATGGGCACAGATGTCAGCCCAGGGCCAATCTTCCTCAGCAAAAAAGAGGAGGATTGGCAACAGATGTTAGCTCAGGGCTAATTTTCCTCAAAAAAAAAAATTTGGCATCATTCTTAAAATACATACAGATTTGTTTCCTTTTTAAAAATAGTTACTAAATATTCAATCATTGAGAAATACCCTGATTTATTTAACTCTTCCCATATTCTGAGACATTATACTTTTTACTATGATAAATAATATGTTATAAATATCCTTGTACATAGTCATCATCTGTATTTTTTATTCCTTCCTTAGGGTGTCTGGAAGTGAAATTACTTGGCCAAAGAATATGAACAGATTGTTTTCCAGAAGGGTAATACCCTTTTATGCTCCCCCAGCCATGTCTGTCTCACTTAATGTTTAATTTTTTTGCAGTTGTCAGATGAAAATGGTATGTTGTTCTAAATTTACATAACTTTGATTATTGGCAAAGGTATATACCTTTTGAATATTTATAGAACTTTGCTTTTTTTTTTTAACTTTCCATTATCTGCTCATCTACTAGAGTGGACATTTGTATTGTTTTTTCTACTTAGCAACTATTCACCTTACTTGTGAAAACAGCCAGGAGCTATCTGTCCTTCTATCACCCTTTCTTCCTCTTGGATACATTGTAGCTTCTCAAGAGAAGAATCTGTCTGAAACTGGAACCAACCAAGAGAAATATGAATTGGGGGATGGCTGGCAAGAGAGAAACCAGGTGATGGATGGTCTTTGTGCCTTTTCCCTGGATGTTTTCAGGTAAGCAAATCACTGGCCTCAGAGACGGTCCTCACTGGTACATTCTTTTGCCCATTTTTTAATCACAGTGTTATTATTTGTTTCAACACCAAAATATTAAAAGTATAGGTGATTTTTAAAAACTTTTTATTTTGGAATTATTTTAAACTCACAGAAAGTTGCAAAAGTTCTTTGGGGAGTTTGGAGAGAGCTTCCCCCAATAATAACACCTTCCTTAACCATTGTACATTATTAAAACCAAGAAATTGACATCGGTACACTACTCTGAACTAAACCACAGAGCTTATTCAGATTTTATCAGTTTTTATATGCATCTGAGTACTTTTAAAAATATACATTTCTTTGTATACAATTTGTGCAACGTGCACAGATCATTTTTCTAACTAGAAAATAAACATTATACGTATTTCAAAATATATCAAGCGCTAGGTTTTTAGGCAGTGTCAATGGACTCAAGGCATTTCTTTCACTTTTACTGTAGAAAATGTTGCAGACAGCATATGCCGCAGGCATTTTAGCTGTGGGCTGTGTATTTAGGTTAGTTATTACGTCTTTCTCATTATGTGAGGCAGGTTAAAATGCAACTTTTCCCAATGTTCTTGTGTACCACAAAGGAATTTGTTTCCACCACTCAACCATCACCAGTGGTTGGAATCGGTTAGCTTAATGGGTTTCTGAAAGCCATTTCCCTGCAGCTGTGTTTACCTTTCACTCCAAACACTCACTGGTACTTCCTAAGCAAAAATATGATAAAGAATACTTTTCTCTTCTGCATTTAAGTATAAAAAAGCCCTTTTTTAAATGTTTCATTTTGTTTTTTCTGATCTTAGCCTATAGGAGATAAAGAATAATAACAACAAACGAAACAAAACTAAGAAAGAAAAATTACAGAAAAACACGTACACCAAAAGCAACCCCTAAAATCCAGAATTTTGACGTTGCTCATTAAATGAAAAAAATAGGTTTTATTTGGGAGTGACACATAAGGGAACGAATATTTATTGAGAACTGCTACGTGCTAGATGCTATACTGGGTGTTCTGAGTGGCCCCATATAATCTTGGCAGTGTAGTCAACAGTGTACTGATGCTATTGACCTTGAGACAATTGTCTAATCGTATTTAATGAAGAAGGGTGCCAATAATGAGGCAACAGAATCACTGTAAAGCCAGAGGCAGAAGAAAACATCAGACAATTTCTGGCTAATTAAGTGATACCATACCTGTCAGATCGTCTCATTTTAATACTCTTAATTTTACTCTATAAATAGTTAATGATTTTAGAAAGAATTGAAAATATATAGAAATGTGCAAAGTAGAAAGCAAAAGTTCTCAGTGTCCCCATCTCCCAATTCTTCTCCTTAGAGGTAATCACTGTTAACAATTTAAAGTGCCTCCTTTCTGTCTCCACATTTTTTTTTAAATTATTTTAAGAAGGTCAGGGCCGGCCCCGTGGCATAGCAGTTAAGTGCATGTGCTCCGCTGCTGGCGGCCCAGGGTTTGGATCCCAGGCACGCACCAATGCACCACTTGTCAGGTCATGCTGTGGCGGCGTCCCATATAAAGTGGAGGAAGATAGGCACAGATGTTAGCCCAGGGCCAGTCTTTCTCAGCAAAAAGAGGAGGATTGGCATGGATGTTAGCTCAGGGCTGATCTTCCTCACAAAATTAATTAATTAATTAATTAATTAAGAAGGTGATATTGGGTTATAACATTGTGTAAATTTCAGGGGTACATTATTATCTTTCAGCTTCCATATAGATTGCATCATCTTTACCACCAAAAGTCTAGTTTCCATTTGTCACCATACATATGTGCCCCTTTACCCCCTTTGCCCTCCCCCCACCCCCTTCCCCTTTGGTAACCACTAATCTGTTCTGCTTATCTATGTGTTTGTTTTGTCTCCACATCTTAAATAAAAGACAGAGTTGAGAGTTTGTTAGTATACAATAAGATTCTAATAAATCCTATTCCTTTTCAGATGTAAACTGTTTATTATTCATAACAATTGTTATACTTTTAGCAAATTATACTTTCTAGTTTTAAATATTGAAAATCTGAACTAGCTAGTTAGAAATAGTTTACCATAATCAATTTTTTTCTCTTACTATTTGGAATTTAATAAAAATTATTAAAATTCGCTGAGTGATTAGGGTGTGTGCCAGGTACTTTACCTATAATAACATGTATTAACATATTTAATTCTCAGGAGAACACTTTAATCCAGGTGCTATTTCTCTCCCTATTTCAAAGTTGGGGAATTTGACGCACAGAGAGGTGAAATCAGTTGAATAAGGCCACAAAGCTACTAAGTGGTGATGCTAAGAATCAAGCCCAGGAGGCTTGAAATCATCAATATTAGTCAGCTTGACATAGTCCCACAAATCAGCTTTTTTGTTCTCTCTATGCTTCAGTTTATATAGTTTTATTGTTATGTTTTCCAGTTCACTGAAATTTTCTTCTGTGGGTTCTAATCTTATTTCAAATTCATTCAGTATATTTTACATTTTAGAAAGGATGTTCTCCTCTTTGTAAATTCTATTTGGTTCTTTTTATAGTTTCAATTCCTCTCTTGTTTATATTCATGTTTTCCTTTACATCTTTGAGTGTGTGTGTGTGTGTGTGTGTGTGTGTGTATAAAGTTCAACCATCTTCATCACTTCTGTCTTCTGTTTGTGTTGACTGCTTTTTTCCCCCTGGTTATGAGTCACAATTCCCTGCTTCTTCCCGTATCTAGCAATTTTCTTTTTTGGGTGTGGACATTGTAATTGTGAATGTTACCACGTTAAAGTGTCTAGATTTCGCTGCATCCCATAAAGAATGCTGAAGTTTGTTGGGAAGGGATTTAAGTTACCTGTGCATCAGCTTGATCCTATTGAAGCTTGTTTTTAATCTCTGTTAGAGCAATTCTAGAGAAATTTTACTCTATGGTAATTTTACCCTAGGTCTTCAACAGGATCTCTCCACAACGGCTGATCAGAATTTGAATATCATCAAATTTCACTTGGATTCTGGGAGTCATTCAGTTTACATTTCCTTGGCAGTGTTTCTTTGCTGTCCTCCTGTCTTATGTGTACCCCACATGTTCTGGCTGCCTCAACTGTCCCGAATGGCAGTCTCTGTCTCTCCAACTCAGTGAGACTTCAGTGTTCTGCTTGGACTCTTGCATACATTGTGGTCCAAAAGAGTGCTTCCAGAAAGAAAGTTAGGGCAATGATACAGCTCATCTTCTTTCCTGTTTTCCAAGGAGCATGGTCTTGTCATGTCTGTTTTCCAATGTCTAAAAACGGTAGTTTCTCCTATTTTGTTTCATTTTCTAGTTGTTTACATTTGCAAGTCCAGTATCATTTACTTTATTGTGGTCTCAGATCCTTTTTTCACAAGCAAGAACTGAGGAACATCCTCAATTTCCTACTATATCAGAATAAAAAGAATGCTTCAGATACAGGCTGACATTCAGGGCATCATATATTTAGAAGCATTTTGGAAGATTTTGAATTTTTCTTTAAACTGTATCACATTCATCATTTTGGAATTACGGTAGGGTGATTTTAAAAAATATTTTAAGTGTCACACTTGAAACTAGTGGTTTTGAAACATCCCATACAAGAAAATTCTGAATCAGTGGGTAAGGGGTGGAGTTCAGGAGTCTGCATTTTTAATAAATATCCATGTGACTCTGATAAAGGTTTCCAAAGCACACATTTTGTGGCAAACTGTTCTAAACCTCTAAAGAGTCTAAAAGCTTACCTTTGACTCCCTAGTCTCACTCCCTTCACTCTACTCCTGAAAGAAGGCACACAGAGCTTGATGCCAAATGTTTTGATCAAAGTGATAAGGATGATGATCACAGGTGACATTCTCAGATTGCCTAGGTTTGAATCCAGACCCTCTCTTTATTAGCTCTGTCAAGGGGAATAGGCAGCGTAATCTTCCTGAATGTTTCTTATCTGTAAAATGGGCATCAGAATGCCATTGGATTGTTATGAAGCTCAAATTACATAAAGTCTGTGCAGGATATGCCCTACAACAGCAACCAAGAGAGAACTAATAATCTCTGGTCTAAAATTCCTGAAATCTTTTCTTGACCTAAACAGGAGGAAGTGTCCCTCTTCCTGTTTCCTTAGCACCTTGTGCCTATATCCATGTGGGTG